ACGGCGGCCATTTTGAATTCTATCGTTTCAGATAGCTATTATGGGATACCCAGGAGGCAAATTAGAATGTCTTTGCGCCCTGAGCATCCTATAATGGATATATGAAACAATAGAATTCAAAATGGCCGCCGTATCGCCGAAAGGGCCCATTAAATTTAAGACCCTTTCGTACGCACATTAAAGGAGCTCAGTCACGGTATTTTGAGTTATTTTGGCCACACACAAAATTACCTTTAAATGGTAGGAAACCTGAAAATAACAGTTTAATAAGATAGAAAAACACCAAAGACATAATGATAAACCATAAAGGAACAAGGATGGCTAAGGATGGAGAAGTTTAACACGGATTACAAACGAAGAATTGAAAAAGTGAGGCTAAACTTTTCAAGATGCGCAAACCGTGACTGTGCTCCTTTAAGATTAATCGCTTTGGATCAAAACTGGAGCTAGTCATACTTACTGTATCTACCGTTCTTCGCACTAAAATCTAGGTTTATCTGTGTCAGAAACTGGAATTTTCCTATTAAAATAACAAAGATTAATTCAAATATTAGATTTTGTAATGAAGGGATCAGCTATGAACTCAAATCTTTTCAGAGCACATTTAAAACAACAAATCAGAACGAAACCGAAACATGCATCTTACTTTTATTGCGCAGCAGTAGCTTCTACGGAACAATTTTCTTGATCCAGTGATTTATCGTCTATGGTCTTCATGCATGGTTTAGTTTGTGCGCGTAATTTAGCCGAGTATCAGGAACCGAACTCTGTTTTGCATCTTAACTTTTTTTAATTGTTACACCCAAGTCGAGTTAAACTGGAGCTTTTCAGTTTCTCTTGTGTTTCTTTTTCCATGATAATTCATGTCACGGAAAAAGCTGATGAGTCACGCTGATACCTGTTCTCTTTTCAAATGCTGAATGAATCGATATGTCAGTATCAATTTAAAAAACTTTCTCCAGTTCTCGTGTTGTTAGATGAAAATGAAATCCCCAAAACCCAGTTTGTCTTGGCGATTTATGCATACACCTTTTACTTACTTTATTTCTGGGAAATATACGTTGAAAGGGTTCTTTGATTAATTTAATAAGAAAACAACCATCACAATGCTTATTTTTATTACATGACTACTGATCCGATCTGTGTACTTTCGAAACGTAACATCATCTTCAGAAAGGGAAACATGACAGCC